CTTCAAAGAAGCCTTATGGTGTAGTGGAAGACGTTATGGTTTGTGTAGGAAAACTACAATTCTTGGTGGACTTTGTGGTAATGGAGATGGAGGATGAAAGGATTCCAATTATTCTTGGAAGACCGTTGATGAAAACGGCCACAAGTCTCATTTAATCAAGAAATCACATAATTGTCTAGGACGTGAGTCCTTTGGGAGACAATACTTGGTCTTACCATTTATTATTACTTGATACGATTCAGTACACTTGCTGAAGTGTTAACAAGCACATGCAGACGACTACTGATTCGATTGAGCCCCTCGCGCCGCATCACGCTCGGCTCTCAAGGTTTTAATTGCAGCCTGCATGGCCTCCATCCTCCTCAGCATTTCCTGCATAAACGTCATTGGGTCTTGAGCCATCCTTATGATCTTGATAGGGTGTCTTCGAAAATCCTCGGCCCCACGGTGGGTGCCAAAATGTTTCTACTGAAATGGTGCGAGGATGATCGTTCGTCCTAGAGTCTTGCGTGCCAAACGTCCTCCTTGCTCAATTCAGCGGATGGGCGAGCGTCCTTGTTCCTTACTCAAGAATATTGAACACCGAATGAGGGGTGACCTGCAGAAGACACTTTGACGCTCAAGTCAGAATATTTCTTTGTAGGCCTTTTATAATTTTATAGAAAGTCAAAGTGAGTTTGCCTCGAAATTAAACCCTTATTTAAAGAGTTTAAAAGGAATGTGACCAATTAATTTACCTCTTAATAGTCATTAATGCAGACCTTAATTGTCTAGCAGTAGCCATTGTTTCATTAATTGTGCCTTAACTTTGTTGAACAGTTGTCAGACCCGGCGGTAATGAGATGCTTTCTTGGCATATCAACCGCTCGATCCTTTCCATCCACTGCATCGCCAACACCGACCGGTCGAGTATGAGCCTATACTAACACAATTCAATTTTTTCTTAAAACTATTTCTTTTATTAATTGACAGGGTTTTTTTAAAAAAAAATGTTTTTGTTCTATTAGAAAAACATAAATTAATAAAGAAAACAAATATTAAATACGATCACGGTTTATAACTAAATAGTTTCCTTCATTATAGAAAGGCATATTCAATTTTATGATGGAGACAAATAATAAGATATAATAGTCCACGGGGTTAAATGTATAAAGTCTATTTTGAACAGAACATAAATTTTCATTTATAATTAAATTTTTTCGTAATATCTTACATTTTAACTCTTTATTTAATTTTTTTTATGAATTATTTTTTAGTATATTACTTTTTAAATATATTGATATGGAATGAGAAGACGTTTCATAATATTTAAACTTGTGACTTTAATGTGGTAAAGGCAAGAGAATCCCTGAAAGTTGAGTTCAACGAATATCATTTGAACTCCTCTTCATGGGTCTGAATAAAATTTCTCCTCTTGCGAGAAGAAAATTGTACTGTTGATTACTGTGTTGTGTGCAGTGAAAAAAAAAAGGATTTAGAATAGGAATTTTGCACTGAGAAAACCTTTGTTAAGCCCCTATCTTCTCTTGATATTGAAGAAACACATAACACTGCATCACTAAGCCCAACTAGGAAATTTTTTATGAGAATTACATAGATATGACATAGCTATTGTCATTTCTTGTCATTTCCTTTCCCAACAAAAATAAATGTGTTGGAACATTCCAATTCACAAAAAGAGAGGTTTTATTCTCTTGAAAATGAAATTCTACTGAAAAAATTCTACTGAAGAAAACTCTACAGCAAACTGTTCGAGGTCAAGCTGATTCTAATCTTTTGACGTACTTTTTAGCCTGTCACAGGAAAAACAAAAAGAAGTGAGATTGAAAACTGCCCAATTTAACACGTTAAAGCGATATGCATAGTGCAAAAATATCAGTCTGAAGAGACTCAACCCATAATCACAATTGTCATGGTTGAGTCAATACAAAATTCTTTGCAAATTTTGTGTTTTCTGATCTCTATCTCAACATGTAAGTGTGCTATAAAAATATGTAGAAGGTGATAAAAAGGAAAGGATAAATTCATGGAAAGCTATTAAAAAGCATTCAACTTGTACCTGCTCTAAAGTTAAAAACATGATCACGTTCCATGATCCTAGCCGTCCAAAATTTGGTATGAACCCCTTATAAAAAGCAAAAGGTCCCTGCAAACATTACATTCCATAACCAATTAAGTGTGGCAAACGTACAATGATGTAATGTAGCCAAAGCTAGAAATTATCAAGGGAGTTTGTTTAGCAGATTGTGCTTTGTCAACAACCACATAAAGTTTGACTCTAAAATTTTGTGATGCGTTTTAATAAAAAGCCAGAGCAATTATATTCATGCAATATACTATTTAAAATCAAAGAAAACATGCAAGAGAGAAAAATAGTGACACTGGAAAAAAATCATACGTCATTTTTTAATGTCTTGATGAAACAATCAATGGTGCTTTTGTAACTAGAATCTCCCATCATTCTTGACTTAACCTGTCCATACAACAAAAGAACAATGAATTAGGATAATGATAATAGAGAATAATGAAGAAGCTCATTGATCAGGCCCAATTAAGAAGTAATAAAAAAAGATGTTGTCAACAAATCTACCCTATTTGATCTTAAGATCATCTGTCACGGAAAAATCTTCTTTTTGGTTAAGAATTGAATGTATTAACAATTTCAACCATTTTACAATTATCACTGGATTTATCAGTTTATCATAGTTGAATGAAGAAGAAAGTCTGAAACTTATGGTAAATTGTAGGATATTAGCACACTATGCATAAAATGACAAATTAATTATGTATATTCACAAGTAAACACCAAAAGATTACCACATCAACAGGGGAGCCAACACAAACTGCAAAAAACCCTGCCCCTAGACCAGCTAGAAGATGAGTTAGCACATTGTCTGTGAATCCTGGAATTTTCAAAATAGTCTGCAACAAAACAAATAGTTATACAAAAGTAAAATGAAGAGATTGCAAGGTTTTACTCCAAAATTAAGTCCAGTGTCTTTTGCATTACCTGTTTCACTTGATCATAGCTTGCCAATTCAGCAGCATTAATGATACCATTTCTTGTTATGTTGGGTCCAATCCCAGTCCAAAGAGCACCAACCCCTTCCTATGTGTAGGAAGCCAGTGAACAAAACTAAGTATAACCAGAAAAAGGACTGAATACATTTTCACAAACTATATCAAGTTATATGCATACCTGTCTCACTATTGTTGAATAAGCATTTAATGATCCAGTGTAGCGCCTGGGCACACCGGGAGGCAATTTTCCTTCAGATTGAAGTCTAACTTTCACAAGATCTGTTGGATTGGCCACAGCAATTGCCATAGCACCTTATGATAACACAAGTTCATGCGGTTCAACATTATGGTTTTGCATAATGAATCAATAATTCTAAAACAGCAACACAATGTCCAGGAATGGGCTTTACCAGTTGTAAATCCAGCAAGAATTTTCTTAGACAATGGAACATCTCCGACATGGTCAGGTCCAACATAGAAACTCTTAACCTGTTATAAACCCCATGACATCTATGTCATTAGATCACATAAGCAAACGGTGGAAATGAACTGAAATAAATAAACATTCTCCAATACAATGTTCCAAACTCACAGGATCATATAATGCAATTCTTAAACCTCCATTCACACATTGACGTTGTAGGCCTGGTACAATCCCCTTCCAAAGTGCTGAAAGACCTTCTTCCCTGGCAATGGTTGCAACGGTTCCAAGCATTCCCCTATATTTAGGTAAGGCGATCACATCACCAATCACAGGCTGTTTTTGAAGCTGAAGCCTAACTTTTGCAGTGTCCAGAGGAATAGTACATACCTGAATTATTGGAGCAATAATTTCAAACAAATAGTTATATACAACACAGGGACTAAGTATTTGTGAAAGCAATATTACAAGTGAACTTAAAACACAAGGCAGCTTAGTAAATATATATAACGAGCAGAACCAAGTACCAATCTTCGCATAGAGTAACAGGACCAAAATTAACAGCTAAGGAAAAGTTTAGTACAAATCTTTAACTGAAAGATATCTAATGAAATATTATTTGTTTCTTGTGCAATATTTTCACTGCAGCCTGAGATATGACAGGTTAGCCAAACAGGTATGATGATTTTAGAGTAAATCAATTGATACCACCCTTCTAATTCCAAGATCCGCAAACCATAGAATAATCAAGGTTTGAAATTGCAGTTGTAGTCATAGTGTTTTCGTGATTGCAGCCAAGTGGCCATAGTTATAATTGTAGAGAGAATTCAAAACCTTTCGTGTTGTGGCCAAAATAACATGCTGAAGGTTTTGAAAAACCACAGGAATATAATCATCCATATTGAATGAACCATGAAAAGCAAACAGAAAAGTGCGAAGACCTTTCATAATCATATAAGTTAAAAATACCTTTCCTCTATAGCCATTGTTTAATACACAACATTGGCAGGAAGCAATTGGCTAGACACTTATACAAGAACACCATATTTGATAATGAAACACAGTTCCACCTCCCATGTTCAATTCAAAAGGTATCAAAATCAACTAAGGACTAGTTAAACGCATAAGGTCTCAGATGCTCATCCAATGCATGATTTGTCATACAATAGCACGATCATCTAAGACTTTTAAGCAAAGGTCCAATACGCAAAAAAGACAGGATTTTTACACATGATCACAACAAAGAGAGATTACCCAGAAGAGAAAGTTTGATAAAGTGAATATCCAGATGAGAGTTATTGAAAAGAGAGAGATATTAGAGTCACAGATGTACCTCGGCGAAACATGCAGCGAAAGCACTGCTGGCGAAAGTGCCAGCAAAGGAGATGTCGGATTTGGAACTGTCACCTCCCACCATTGCTTCGACGAGGCCAAAAGATGTTCACAACAAATGAAGAGAGAGAATTCAAGAAGCAATAGAAAACAAAGCGGAAAGGAAGAGAAGAAAAAAAGGTGTTCAGAAGAACGATATCAAGACAGTGAAACTCAGTACTAGGCAGAGGAGTTCTTATATAGCTCTTTGTTCAATAACTGAATCTATATTAAAATCTAAAAAAAGTTAATTTTAGAATGCAATTACATGTATTAACGTATAATTTTTTATAGAGTTAATTGAAAGATGCGTATATTATTATTTTAGTTTGACCATGAGCCCATGATTTAAGCATGCTCGTGTTTTGTATCGGAAAATAGTCCTTTTTGAAGATTTATTTTCCTTGTTTTAGGTATAGAGAGATGGATAATGACACAGTCATGAATTGACTGAACTGTAAATCCCTGGGTTTGCTTATTTAATTCCGTGTGTCTGCAGAGGGCCATACTAAGATCTCACGAATGTTTCATTTTGACCCTTTAAACTCAGACAATCATGAATACACCTTCTCAACAAACACATTATTCTTCCCTTCTCATTCATGACATGTTTTAGTTTCAACAAAAGCATGCCATTACTTTTATGTTTCAATGGAGCCAAGTGATAAAAATACAACTATGAGAATTTGATTTCAGTAAAATGTAAACTCATGAATCATAAAACTCAACAATATTATGCATTTATACCTACCTAATCTTACATTTGTACTATTTATCATTTTTTTTACATGTTTATATTTTTACTGTGTTGGTAGAAAGTTTAGAAAATAAATGCATTCTTATGGCGCAATTGTCTTTTTTTTTTGGTAAATTAATGAAGCTATACCTTTTACATCAAATTACATCATGTCTTAAACTTATTTATTTTTAAAATTCATCAACTAATCATTAGTAAATCCTGCAATATTATGCGGATTTAATATGTATCATGCAATGATAAGTTATTTCAAATGTATGAGTAGTTGATTTACTTAAATGTTAAACAAAATTCTCATTATATATATATATATATATATATATATATATATTATATAATCGCGTTCATATTCATAAGATTAAATAATAATCATAAGAGTTTGAGTAAAGCTGGCGTAAATATATTTAACTTTCTTTAATTAACTGTATTTTGTATATAATATTTTTACTTATAAAATAGGAATTCCTAAAATATTAGCTATTTGAATTTGTAAAATTGAATATTTTTCAATTTGAAGTACATAAAAAATTAAAAGTAATCTATAAATATTAATAGTACTGAAATAATTGTCTCTAGAAAATTGAAATGTTTAATAGTAAATAAAAAGGAAAATAGATATAAGAACAAAATATTATTAAAATATAAAAAAATAATAAGAGGAAAAGCTAAAAGGTGTCTCTCGAGTAACTTCTAACATATAAAATAGAAATTCCTACAAGTTAATACGCTGGACCAATGATAAGTTAACAAGCAAGGGGCTCTTGCTTCCTCCACCACCACACCTTTCTCCCTCTAATTCTCCTTTACTATTTTGCCTCTCAGTAAAATTTTATTTTTAAGGTTATTATTTTTTAATTTTACCCATTCACAACCTATTTCACTAATAACCTATTGTAATCCGGTGCATGAGTAAGATATTTTTCTTTCATTTTAACATTATACTTCTTCCTCTCTCATCTGCTATGAGATACTACAAGTTGCAAAGATTGGTGGTGGTGGAAAGAATTATCAAGCATTCTCCCTCTCGTGGTGGAAAGAATTATCCGTTTTACCTTAAACGGATGTTAACATCCGTTGAAGGATGTCACCTCCATTTACAGGTTTCGTTTTTTATTTTAGGGTTTTTGTTTTTAGTTTATTCTTTGTTTTGGAGATATTTTAATAATTTAATTTAAATGTTTTGATTTATTATTTTTGAATATAATTTTAATGTATTTTAATTATGTATATTTATATTAGTTTATATTTGGCTTAATTACCTACTTAGTCCCCATGTTAGGAGGTAATTTTCTGTTTAGTACCCGGTTTTAAAAATGTAGGCATTTGGTACCTATGTTTTGAAATTTGTATCAATTCAATCCTATCTAGTTAACGGCGTTATAATTGATGCGAGAAATTAAGGACGTTAATGAAAATGCATTCAAACATTTGACAGCTATTCCACCCAGGCTATCATTAACGTCCTTAATTTCTCGCATCAATTATAACGCCGTTAACTGGATAGGATTGAATTGATACAAATTTGAAAACATAGGTACCAAATGTCTACATTTTTAAAACTGGGTACTAAACAGAAAATTACCTCCTAACATGGGGACTAAGTAGGTAATTAAGCCTTTATATTTATATTTTTGTATTTTGGATGTTATATATAATTACGGTTTAAACGTAATGATTTTGTCAAAAATATATATTTTTTATATATGATTTTTATATCTTTAATTCTTTAACAATTTTATAATTATATAAAAAATTACTTATTACTTTATTTATATGAAATATATAATTTAATTATATTAATATTTATATATTTGTTTGATTAATTATTAATTATGTTAATAAGGCTCATTATAATTTTGTAGGTGATTAATATTTAAAATGGATGAATATCTTCATATGGATTTTCAAATTGGTTGTAGTTTGAAATCTGATTTGTCGTCATCAATTAGCAAAGTTGTGGAGGGAGATTTAACAAATAAATTTACAACAAATGAAATATTTCGTTCACGGGAGCACTTAATTCAATGGCTTATGATTTAGGATTTGTTGTGGAAATAGTAAGATCTGACATACCTACTGGTGTACGGGGAAGAAAAACGTTCATCATACTTGGATGTGAAAAAGGGGGGAAATATTGGAAATACAAAGCCGATGTGGTGGCTAGTGTATACGACACTCGTAAATGTGAGGGTTTGTTTAGATTAAAGGGTAAACCATGTTCAGATGGAGCCCGATGGGTGTTGAAGGTGATGTGTGGACATCACAACCATGAGTTGGCTGAAACTTTAGTTGGTCACCCTTATGCTGGCAGGTTAAATACGAGTGAGAAGTAATTATTGGTTGATATGACAAAGAGTAAAGTTACACCTGCAAATATGTTATTAACACTCGAACAAAATAATGATCGAAATGTGACAACGATTAAACAAATTTACAACGCAAGGCAAGCGTATAAACGATCATTAAGAGGGTCCAGAACTGAACTACAACAACTTATGATGTTGTTGGATCGGGATAAGTACATTCACTAGACTAGGTGTGCTGATGATTCAGAGGTTGTTATTGACTTGTTTTGGACACATCGTGATGCAGTCAAATTGTTAAACTCATTTAATGTTGTATTTTTGATGGATTCCACATATAAAACAAATAGATATAGACTTTTTTTGCTTGTGATTTTGGGTATGACGTCTACAGGGTTAACCTTCTCAGCAGCATTTGCTTTCTTGTCTACTGAAAGGCAGAGTAATTTCACATGGGCTTTAGAAAAGCTGAAAGGTTTATTTGTAACATCTGAGGGTGGTCCTAAAGTCATTGTCATTGACCGAGACTTGCCTTTGATGAATGCCATTGCAAATGTATTCCCTGAGTCATATCAGATGTTATGTCGGTTCCACATCCTTAAAAATGTTAAAGCTAAATGCAAAATGTTAGTTCATTCTACTGAGGTTTGGGAAGTGTTGATGTATGCATGGGAAAATGTGATGGATTGTGATGATGAAAGCTTGTTTGCTGAGTATGTGAATGATTTTCAATACGCAAGCAGTTCATGGCCTTTGTTCTTTGAATATGTGAATCAGACTTGGATTATTTCATACAGCACATACTTTGTGAAGTTCTGGACGAACAAAGTAATGCATTTAGGGAACACAACCACAAATAGGTAAGTTGTAATGTTATTTTATTTATTTGTTTTGTAGATAAATATTTATTTGCACTTGTTGATGGTTTTTTTTTGTGTCAGGGCTGAATCTGTTCATTGGAGCCTGAAGAAAGTTCTGGGCAATAGTATGGGTGATTTGTGTTCTTGTTGGGATAATATTCATAACGTCATTATCCTACAACGCAACAAGATTAAGGCGTCATTTGAAAGTAGTCTGTTGCTCACGAGTGACCATTTTAAAGGCTATATATATAGATAACTTATTGGACGTGTGTCTCGATATGCATTGGATCTCATTGCTAAGGAATTGAAAATAGTGCAGCAGATAGGATTGGACTCCTCAAAGTGTGGATGCATATTGAGACGTACATTTGGTGTCCCATGTGCATATGGCGAATATGATCCTAGGATAATCCCTATAGGTGAATTTCATATCATGTGGCGAAGATTACATTTCTCAAATGTTGAATTAAATGAAACTGAGCCTCAGTTATCCATTAAAGATGAGTTGAAACAAGTAGAAGAACGATTCAATGAGGTTGACATTAGCACATTGGCGGTAAAGTCACCATCAAGCAGAAGTTACTTGAGATTGTTTGTCCTACATTGACATCAATGGTCCCCTCCATTACATAAAGTGAAGACAAAGGATGCACAAAAAATTAAAGTTCAACGAAGTGAAAGGTCTACTACGTGGGATCCATCATATTTTGAGTATGTGGACGCCTTTCATTCAACCATAGAATCTTCATCTGTGAGAAGTAAATTACAATCAAAGCCAAAAGCGGTGAAGAAAAGGAGAGTTTCAATGATAGACCAATTTCATTCTACTACTCACCCCTTCATTATGGACGTTGTTGATGTTGTGGTTGATGGTCACTGTGGGTATAGATGCATTGCTGCGTTGTTGGAACTCGGAGAAGATTCATGGCCCGTTATCAGGAATGAGTTGTACAAAGAACTCAGTGCATGGCGTGATGAATATGGAAGCCTAGTAGGAGGCTATGATAGACTAGAAGAACTAAGGAACTCTTTGTTGGTGCAGTCACTATCGGCGGTAAGTGTTTCCCATTTTATGTATTTTATTTATTACATTTGTTTTTTTCTAACAACTTCTTTTATTCATAACAGGCTAACATGAACAAGTGGATGACATTACCAGACATTGGTTATGCAATTGTTAACCGATATAACGTTATCTTAGTATGTTTGTCATACTCTCAAAATTATACTATCTTCCCACTACGTTTCACACCACCTTCGGATATAACTCAACATCGCTTAATTTGTATAGGACATGTTCATGGATGTCATTTTGTGCAGGTAAGTACATTTTTTTATGATTTCATTTTAAAATTACTTATCACTCAATTAATTATTGTAATTTGTATAATGCAGGTTAAGCTACAAGAAGGTTGTCCGTTGCCCATGGTGAATATCATGTCCTCAACCCACTGTTATCCTGAGGCACGAGCGTGGTCATATATTTATACTAGTAGGATGCAAACATTTGAACAGTTGATGGACATAACAACATCTTTTGTTGACTTAGGTGATTCGTGATTTATATTATGTATGAAGATATGTAAGAATACACTATTATATTTTGTTATTTAAGTACTTTATTTTCAGTATTCGTGATATTTATATTATTATTATTCGTGATATTTATGTAGTATTTATTTATGTATCAAGATATTTATATTATCAATATTCGTGATATTTATATTAGTTGTTGTTAATTAAGTTCTTATTTTTTTCCACTTAAACATATAAATATTTGATCATCTATATAACCAATATAAAAGAACATGTAACTCAAAATGAAAACATTGAAATTATAAGAAATTATAAATGTCTATTACAAATACAAAGGAAATATGATCAAAAATACAACATTAAATGAGTTTAACAATTTGACTGCATCACGATGTGTCCCAAAAACAAGTCCAATACCAACCTCTGAATTCATCAGACCAACCTAGTCTAGTGAAGTACTTATCCCGATCAAAAACCACTCATAAGTTGGTTGTAGTTCGGTTTTAGGGACCTCTTAATGATCGTTTTTATTACGGCTTGCCTTGCGTTTAAATGCGCCGCCACCTTAATCTCAGGGGGTGGAAAGGGATCGAACGCGTCAGAAAGGAGCAGCTTGTCGGTCACATTTCGATCATGTATTGTTGGTGGGGCTCGAAAAAGGCATGTAAGTAAAATAAGAAACATAACTGGTGAAATGCAGGATGGAAGAAGATAACTATGATAGAGCAACATGTCAGACACCGAGAACAGATGGTCACATTTGATCACGAACAAAACCAGAGGATGTAAAGGGTATACGTTCTCCACTCGTAGTTTTAAACCTGAACAGATAAGGGTACCAAAACTAAAGTTTCAGACAACATAGAGAGCGTAGAAGATGGTGATGTCCAACATCACCTTCAACACCCAGCGGGCTAAAAGAGTACGAGTGTGCCGGAGATCTCTGCACTGGTTTCCCCTTTAATCTAAACAAACCCTGACCCCAGAATTGTAACGAGGGTAGATAACACTAGGCCACCACCAATCGGCTTTGTATTCCACTATTTTCCCCCCTTTTTCAATCCAAGTTATGGGGATGAACGTTTTTCTGTGTACCCGATACCGACCAGTAGGTTTAGTCAGATCGTACTATTTCCACAACAACATACTAAACATCATTAAGCCATTGAAGTAATGCGTGCCTTGTGAACGACATATTTCATTTAGTGTGTAAATTTATTGGATAGAATCTCTCCACAACTTTGCTAATTGATGAAGACAAATCAAGATTTTCAAACTACAGAAACCAATTTTGAACAAACTTTTTCTCCCATATGAAAGATATTCATCCATGTTTAAATATTAACACCACTAAAATTATAATGAGCCGTAGTAATCATAATTCAATAGAAAGGCAAAAAGTAAATATTAATAAAAAAAATATATCAAATAATTAATATAATTAAATTATATATGTAAATATAAAACATAAAAGTAAGAAGTAATGTTTTATATAAATAATTATAAAATTGTTAAGAAGTAAAGATAAAAAATCAGATACTAATTAAAAAAAATATAGATTTTGACAAAATCATTACGTTTTAACCGTATTAGTATATAAAATGCCAAAAAAAATAACAACAATATAAATATAAAAAGGCTAAGTACTACTTAGTCCCCAGTGGTATGTGAGGTAATTTTCTGTTTAGTTACCCAGTTTTAAAAAGGTAGACATTTGAGAACCTATGTTTTCAAATTTGTACAATTAATACTATCCAGTTTTAACGGCGTTATAATTGATGCGAGAAATTAAGGACGTAAGGATTAAGCCTGGGTGGGGGAATACTCTGCAAATGTTTGAAGGCAGTTTCGATTAA